CGCGCCGCGCGGAAACCGCCCTCGGCGCACGTGACGCGGCGCGCAGGCGCCGCCGCCGCCATCTTGAGTGGGGGCGGCGGCGGCGACCGTTGCTCGCAGCGGGACCGCGCGCTGCGCTGCTTGAATTACACGGGTTAAAGGGGCATAAATAAAACAAATAAGTGGTAATATTAAGGGCCGTGGGCACCTGGGAGGTTTCAAAGCCCTGCAGCGCCTCCTCCGCGGAGGCCGCAGGGAAGCTGTCTCCCGGCGGCGGCCGCTGTCTCCCGGCGGCGGGCGGCTGGACGCCCGGCAAAGCGGGAAGCGGCCGCGGCAGGGCGCAGCCTCAGCCTGAGGGGCCTGCGCAGCCAGGCGGCGGGGCCTTCCCGCCCCCAGCCAAACCACCACCGCTTGGCCGGCTGCTTCTAAAGGGAGGCCACGTCTGCTGCACGAGCCAGACTTCAATTCCAGTAGTCCATGAGCGCCTGCGCTCCCAGCGCGTTTGGTGGGAAGCACTTGCAACCCCTGTGCCAGCTTCAGCGAGTGTGTTTCGAGTTACCAGCGCTTTAAGCACAAAGAATAGCGTCCAGCCTTACCACTTCCTGCAATCCAACCCTCTCCTTCAGAGAGGCTTCCAGGATTCCTTCTGCTATAGCAAGGCTTGATGCTAGTCAGGAGGCCAAAACAAACACTTCTTGGACTTGTGCTATGCATTCGTTACGATTTCAGTGCCATAGCATCCACCCGCTAGTTTATGACCTGCCAAATGTGCTTCGGCCTTTGAATGATACAAACTTTCACTTCATGTATTTGAAGCCTTAAAAATTCCTTCCTGTCTGCTCGGGGGGGTTCTCAAAAGCATATCCTGTCTTTACCAAACAGAGAGACGTTCCTTTAGTGCAGGCCATATGGTAACAGATTTTTATAGGAGTGGCTGAATTTGATAGCACTGTAAGTAAACTGGAAAAAAAATTATGGGTAAGTCTGCCGTGTTAACAGCCTTTTCTTCCCCTTTGCATGAGAGGCCATCTATAGACCAGAAACTGTAGAGCTCCAACATGGGCACTAGGTTGCACAAATATGGGGCAGATTTTAAAAGAAGTATTAATCCAAAGGGCAGGAATGCAATGCCACTGGGAAAAATACCACTTTGCATATACCTGCTTCATAGGGGAACACTCCAGTGCCACCGCTGAGAGTTGTCATTTCCATCCTCTGGGAAAGCCACCTTCTCTCAACAAGTGGCACAGCTGCCTTCAGGAGGCACACGGCCCTCTCCGGCCCACCACCCCGAAATCAAGCTTGGCCCCCAGGACAAGCTCCAGTCGTGACATTTGGGCTTGCTTGTTCATACCACCTCCTCCCAAAGGCCTTCAGCCATCTTACAGATCCCTGGAGAGGCCGGCGCAGCCCCCAGCCCTTGTTTCCAGCCCCGCTCTGAGCACACGCCTTGTTTCTATGGAATAGCAGGCGCCGTGCGAGAGTGCCTCAGCACGCTGCGCTGTGACCCGCTGCAGAGAGACCCCCCCGGCACGTGTCCCAGCCCACACAGCGGGGATTTCACGAGCCGGGGCAGGCCGAGCAGCCACATCTGCCGCTCCGAGGCGGGATGCCAGCCCGGGCACGGCTCTGAGCGGCGCCCTCGCTCCCTGCGCGCGACAGCGAGCGGGCGAGCAAGGCAGGCCCGGGTGGCTGCGCTCCCCAGCGCGGCCGCCCGGCAAGAGAAGCCCCCTCCCCACTCCGACTCCCGACGTCACAGCTGGCGCCATTACGTCACGAAACGAGATTCCAATGGCTTCTCTGTGCCCGCCGGGAGGAGGGGAAGCTGCCATGGGCAGCGAGGAAGGGCCGGGGCTGGGGTGGGGGTGGGAAGAAGGGGGAGCTGCCTGGGGCGATGGCCCTGCGGACTCAGAGCGGGCTCTCCTGGCCTCACCTGCTGCTGCGCTCGGTGGCGGGCACAGGCCACCTCCTCCTCCCGCTCGCCGCACAGGGCCCTCCGCAGCCGCTCCAGGTGCTCCCGCAGGGTGACGCGCTGGTGGAAGGAGAAGGCCGGGTGCAGCGAGGCCATGGTGAAGAGCAGCAGCAGCTCCTCCTGCGCGCCGAAGCCCAGGCCCTGCGTGGCGGGCAGCGTGGCCTGGCCGTTCTCGCTGCTGCCGCCGCCATCCATCACCACCAGCACGTCCTCCTCTCCGGCGCCCTCGTCGTCGGGCGGGCCGCGCCGCGCCGGGCAGCTCTGCAGGATGGAGTCCACCTGGGGCAGGAGGCGGTGCAGGCGGCCGGCGGCCTCGCGGTTCTCGGAGCCCAGCAGGGCCAGGTAGACGATGAGCTTGGAGCGCACGGCCGGGTCGCGGAAGTCGCCAAGCTGCCCGGGGTCGCTGAGCCCGTTGGCCTTGGCCTCCGAGTCGCGCAGGCAGTGGTAGTCCTTACGGGCCAGGTCCTCGAGGCAAGAGCCTAGGAAGCGCAGCTCCAGCGGGTTGCACAGGTCCAGCAGCCCCACCATGAACTCCAGCCGCTGCGCCGAGCCCAGCACCAGCCCGAACCACTCGTACACCGTCTCCTTGTCGGTGCGGGCGGCCGCCG